GCCAACCGCAGTTCAAGTCCCAGACCTGGAGGCTTGCTTTCTCACTTTCTCTGGTCAATTTTTTAAAAAATAGGTAAATAAATAAAGTTAAATAAAATAATTCTTAAAAAAAAAAGAATAATCTGAGGCCTGCAGGTGGCATGGTGGTTAAGGCGCTGGACTCCCACATGGCTGACCATGGTTTGGGTCCTGGACCTGGTAACTTGTTTTCTCACTTTCTCTCTGTCTATGTCTCTCTCTGGTCAAATTTAAAATAATAATAATAGAGACCAGCAGATAGCAAAATGGTTACGTCACTGGACCCCCACATAGTCAACCATGGTCCAAGTCCTGAACCCAGTGACTTAAAACTCAGGCTAGATGTGCATGCATGCATGCCAAAAATTCCAAGAGGAAAATGGAGGAGAAGGGATCATGGCATGGCCATCCCTCTGGGATGTGATTTCTGTCTCTCTGTCTCTCTCTCTCTGGCGAGTGCATACGCCCTATAGCAAAAATCTCAAAAATAAATAAATAAATAAATAAAATAAAATAAATCTTAAAAAAGAAAAAATAAACATCTTTTTAAAAAAGGAAATAGTCCAACCCTTGGCCATCTCAAAACCAGCAGAACTTACAGGCATCTCTGGTAAAGAATTTTGCCCAGGAATAGTCCTAGGTCTTCCTAGGACATGTTTATGGCATTAGGGGTACACACTTTCCCAGAAGATTGAAGTATGCTTTGAGTGCACACTTTTAAGAGGTAGTATAGTGTCCGAGGACATATTATCATACGACATAGTATTAAGGGTTATGAGTTCCCAACAATAATTTAAAACTTTTCTTTTCTCATTTTATTGTTACACTAGAAAGTTAACATACTCATATTTTGAATTAACTAGATGATTCTTTATAATTGAGTACTACCATGATATCAGTGCTTATTTTATGTTTCTGAATATATTCATGTCAGTGCCAACATAGGAGCCAGAAACCCACATTGTCCACATGGACCAAGCAGGAAGTATACTACATATGACAGCCTGTAGATGAGATCTTGTGTCTCATCTAAAAGGAAGCAGCAATTATCCACGTCTGGTACATGAAGACTCTTTTTTTTTTTTTTTTGCTCTAGGGTGCACATGGGGGCCAGCAGATGGTGCAGCAGTTATGTCGTTGGACTCCCACATGGCCAACCATAGTTCAAGTGCTGGACCTTGTGGCTTAAAACTCACATTGGGCATGAGTGCCCAAGATCCCAAGAGGAGAATGAAGAAGGGATTGCAGCGTGGCCATCCACCCTGGGGGATGATTTCTTGCTTTCTATCTCTCTGTCTCTCTAGTGAGTGCATGTGCCCTATAGGAAACCCCTCCCCCCAAAAAAATAGGAAGATGCATGTGCTCATTAGAGAGAGAGAGAGATAAAGCAACCCCCAGGGGGGATGGCCATGCCTCAATTCCATCTCCTCCATTCTTCCTCTCAGGATGTTGAGCATGTACACACATGTGCCTGGTATGAGTTTCAAGCCACTGTGTCCAGGACTCAAACTGCAGTTGGCCATGTGGGAGTCCAGTGACATAATCATTACACATCTGCTAGTCCCAGGACTATGTTCTAAGCAAAAAAAATGATTAATTCTCTTCAGAATCCTCTTGAAGGGAAAGTCCTAATTTTTTTTTTTAAAGATTTTTGCTATAGGGCATGTGTGGTTGC